GAATTATTTGTTTTGTTTGTCATATATGTATCTTTAAACGGTGACGTAACCGATGTAACCATCTTAGCAACATAACCTTGATAAAATCAACGACGAGGTTATGTTGAATACTTTGACGTTTCTATCGACGCAATTTAAACATGGGTTTGTTTGGAAAATCGCAAGAAAAGAACCCAAAAGAAATGGTAAGTGGCCAAAAAATCTATTTTCTCTTAATATTATTGATATCAAATATTTTATAGGTTCAGGAATGGATTCACAAATTGAGGAAAGAAAGTTGCCAGCTTGACAGGCAACTTAGAGGTGAGTCATAAAGACAAAATTTTAAGAAAAATTGTTAAAATTGAAGAAATGTAATTTTGAATGAACAGAAATCTCAATTGTGATTCTGAAATCTTGACCTTATCACCTAAAAACCTGGAATTAAATGAGTTATATGTTAAAATCCTCAAGTCTTAATCTTGATTTTAAAGTTTCAATTTTAATCTTAAAAAGAGATCTTATGACAAATGAAACTTTATGAAGAGAAAAATGTAATTTTAGAACAGTTTATACAATAATATTACAATTTTAAAAATACTTTTTGTTTAAAATTCTTAGCACAATTATTTATTTTATGGTTAAGTATCAAGGATTCCTAATTTAATTCCTTATCTTCGTTTCTTTTTTTTTCTATTTACTCTATTTAAATAACCAATGTTTTTCTGCATAGCAATTCACAGAGAAGAGGAAAAAATAAAACGTTCTCTAAAAGAAGCAGCAAAGAAAGGAGATAAAGATGTATGCAAAATCCTTGCGAAGGAAATTATAAGAGCTCGTAAAGCCTGCAACAAGATTTATTCTTCCAAAGCACAGCTATATTCTGTGTCATTACAAATGAAAGATCAAGTAGCAGTACTCAGAGTTGCTGGTTCGCTTCAGAAATCTACGGAAGTAATGCAAGCAATGCAGTCTTTGATAAAAGTGCCAGAAGTGGCTGCAACTATGAGAGAAATGTCAAAAGAAATGATGAAGGCAGGAATTATCGAAGAGATGTTGGATGAAACAATGGATTCTATTGAAGATTCTGAGGATATGGAAGATGAAGCTGACGAAGAAGTTGATAAGGTGATTAGATAAGATTATTGTGTCATAATAATATCACAGTATTACAGTATATCATGAGAAAGTAGAAAAATTTCTTTTAATTATTTTATTTTATTCTACTATGAATGTTAAGTAAATTTTTATTATGTATTTGTCTGCTTACAATATTTAAGGATCTATTGATTCTTGCAATTTCTAATTTTCTCTCTAGAAATTTTTCATCATAGAAATTTGTATGAAAGAGTAATTTTATAAAATAAAATTTTTCTATGTAGATTTTATGGGAAGTGACAGCTGGCCAACTAGGCACAGCTCCTGCAGTTGTCACAGAAACTCCTGGATCAGTTGTACCTTCTACCTCGACAGAAGAAGAACCAGAAGAGGATGACAAAGAACTCGAAGAGATGAAAAACAGATTGCAAAGTCTTCGCAGTTAGATGAATGGATAATCCAAGAATATTTGCATCAAATGTCAGGGAAATAAGTATTTTCTCCTAATAATAATACTTATTAAATAAATAATAATACAAATTATAAATAATAGCGTTCGCCTATTCATCACAATATATTATTTTGCTTTTTATTGTAAATATTATATATACTATTGCTTTGTAGAGTACTTAAGCAGTATATTTCTACATGCATTGTTGAATAATAATTTTCCTCATAATTTAAATTACGAATTATTATTAAAAATAAGAAGAAAAAATAAACATATTTTAAAATTAAACATAATTTTAAATTTAATTCAACACAATTTGAAGGGAAGAAGAGATATATAAAACAATTGAAATTAAGGTTTTAAATAATCTTGATTCTTTACATTTTGTCATATAACCTTATTTCATTTTGTAATTTATTTTATACAGCATTTATATTCAGCTGTTAGCTTACTTGTTCCCAAATTATCAAGTTAGATTTTTTACAAAGAGGAGAAATACAATTACAGTAAACTATCATTGCAGTATTAATCATTATTAATTGTTGTTAATTGTTTAGACAATTTCAGCAAATTCTCATAGTGACAAAGATATTTTATGTCAAAGAATGTTGTTAATGAATAAATTATAATGTAATATTATTAATGTTGAAATAGTGATATATTAATATTATTGTTATTATGCTATATAAAATATAAATTATTACTAATTTTATTATTACTTGAAAAAATTAGCTATCCGAGCTACTTGGGATATCTCAAATTTTTGTATATATGTAAAATTATTAAAATTTGGTCAAATTTAATATTTTTGCAAAACATTTTTAAATTATTTTATAAGTATATTTTAAGAATATACATAATATAAAATAAAAAACAAATAAGCTTATGTAAAAAAGGCAAAATAATTTGAACATTTTTGAATACATATTTTTGGGATATCTTGAATATATATTTCAGAAAAAAGTTGCAGCTAATTATTCTATTAAATGTGCTTTCGAATTTTCGAATTGCTATATGAAAAACAGTACTTTATATTTCTGCTATTCTGAAAAAATAATACTAAAAAGAAAATTGTATTTTTAGTATTACTCACTGGATTGTCCTGCTATCCTGAAACACTTTCAGCGTTTCACACACACACATTCACAATTTATACTTTTATTTCACTTTCACATTTCACATTATTCTAATTACATTCTGTACATCATATTTTTACTTTGCATCAATGATAAAAACCGATATAATTTCTAAAAGAGGACAAATTATTCTTTTTCTTCCCTTCCTTCCCCCCGTTTTTCGATCTCTTGTCCTTATTAGCTTCAAATTTCCAAGATAAAATTAAAAATTTTGAAAATACTATACATTCACTTTCACAAGTCACTTTCAAAATTTACAAATTCTCGAAAGATTTATATATTAAAATGTTTGCCCAAAAATATTAAACTGTCAAATTTGTCATTCAAATTTAGCAAATTTTTTACTCAAAGCTAGCGACGCGTTTAAAGTAAAGTGAGTTATAGAAGCGCGTACAAATTTGTGTATTTTCAATATTGCAACTATTAAAAATAAAATGTTACGAGAGATTATTTTTTGTGATGTGGTCACACTGATTCCACCATTTTTGCAAATAAAAATATCGTCCAATGAGAGGTGGAGTAATCTCATTTAGGTAAGGTTAGATTATTACTATGAACATGTGTGTTTTACGCAATATATTACGCTAAACATCCTTTTAATTATAATTTTATAATTTCTTATCTGATCATACGATTGCATTCAACATTTAAATACAGATAAAAAATATGGCAAAGAATTTAAGTGCAAAAATTGGCCCGTCGATTTTAAATGCCGACTTGGCACAACTTCATGAAGAATCGCAAAAGTTGCTCGACAATGGTGCAGATTATTTGCATTTAGATGTGATGGATGGTCATTTTGTTCCGAATCTGACCTTCGGTCATCCAATCGTCAAATGTCTTCGTAGTAAAATAAAGGATGCTTTCTTTGAAACGCATATGATGGTGTCTAATCCAGAGCAGGTAGATAAAGTTCAAATAATTCTATAAATTATCTTTCACATAGATTGTAGAATGAATGCTTATATATATATAATGTATTAAAATTTATCTAAAGGTAAATTTATTAAAATTATAGTGGATTGAGCCTATGGCTGATGCTAGTGTAGATCAATATACATTCCATGTTGAGCCAGTAGAAGATGTTCCTCTGGTTTGCAGAAAAATAAAAGAAGCAGGGATGAAGGTAATGTTTCTTAAAAATTAATATTTCAAAAAATTATATATTAATGATTATATTTAACAATAGGTTGGTGTGGCACTTAAACCAGGAACACCTGTGGATGTTGTATCAGATTATGTGGATCTGGCAGATATGATTTTAATAATGACAGTAGAACCTGGCTTTGGTGGCCAGAAATTTATGGAACCAATGTTACAGAAAGTAGCATGGTTAAGGGAGAATTATCCTGGACTAGATATTGAAGTAGATGGTGGAGTTGGACCAGCTACAATTGAAGCTTGTGCAAAGGTAAAATATATTTAATTATTAAATTATTTTCATATATAATTTTATTAAAAAATTTTAAGTTAGCTTATATGTGAAATTAAATTGTTAATTGTCTATATTGTTTTCCAGGCTGGTGCTAATATGATTGTGTCTGGCACAGCAGTCATAAATTCTACTGATCAAGCTAAAGTGATTACAACTCTTAAAGACACAGTAAATTGTTACTTGGGACGCAGTTGTTCAAAATAGAAATAATAATTACAAATATTGTACAAGTGCACAGAGCATTTATAAGAAAACAGTGATACATCTGAAATTTTTGCAAAAAAATAGATATGTATAAAGATCTGCATATATATACTTTTGATATAATAAGATTGTATAATAAGAATGTAAAAAAATAAAATATAATTTTTAAGACAAAGCATAATATTTTATTTATTTCTATAATTTATTAATTTTTTTATGAAAGAGTTTCTTTTGGCATTAATTTAGTCCTCAATTCAGCTAGGGTTAAAAGAATAGCTTCTTCTGTTCTAATAGTTCTTGTTCCTTGCTGAGGACAGGTGTTCACATATTTGTGAAATACCAAGGATGGATCATCGACATCCAAGTTGGGATCCACGTCCACTGCAGCTTCTAATCCGGCAAGACCTCCAAATACTATAAGACAATGATGATATTCTAAACTCTTGGCTTCTATTTCATCAATTGATGTTCCCTTGTCAGATGTACCAATCGTCAAATCGTATCCTCCTTTGAACCGACACTTTGTTAATACTTCTGTTAGATTTCTCGCTAATTTAACAGTATATCCCCAATAAATTCCACTTTCAGCATATGGTAGATTGGGGGATACAATGATACCCTTCAGTCTTTTTGGGTTTGGCTGTTCCGGTGGTATTTTTACAGTCACTCTTAATCCAGCCATTAGCATCTTATCCACATAAACATCATTCAGAAGTCCCACATTTATCTGAGAACCTTTACCAGTCTTTATAGGTTTACTAGTAACAATCCCCTCACGATACAAAGAGTCGTCCATTCGTCTCGGGTGATGAGGAATGTCCAAAGGATTCAATAGACCACAACACTGCAAATCTTTATGAATCGGGAAGAAGTACTTTCTCAGATACTGAGGACACTCCAAGTATTGCAGTATCCTAGCCAGTTGTAGACAGGATGCCCTGCTCTCGCCTAGTAAATCATCCTTCCTGATCTTTTTCTTCTCGTTCTCCGTGATATCACCCTGATCGTCAAACACTATGATTTCATTGACCTTGTAGATGCATGCCGCACGGGCAATTTGTCCCGCCAAATACGTTCGTAACTCCAAAGTCTGAGCATTGTCGAGAATAGATCCGGGTACCGCAATGCTCACAGTACAAACATTCTTACGCTCGCATGTCGTTTCCTCCACGTGCTCCTTCATCTCGGTCTTCGATTCGGCCTCAAATTCCGTCTTAACCTTCTTTAACAGTTTCTTTTCCTTCCATTGTTTTCGAAGTTCCTTCCGTTTGCGATTAAATTCTCGCCAATTTTCTAATTCAGGTTTTGCAGCCGACATTATCCTCTTCAAATATTTTAATAAATTTTAATTTTTCATATAACACGCACCGATACCAGAGAGAAGCCTGAGAGCGGTCATCACCCCGATTTAGCTGCAACCACAATTCAAGACGCTTCTATGTGCACAAAACGTGCACATTGAACTACTGAGCCATGTACACGATACTTTCCAGTGGGTAACATGCTATGTGCACAATGTTTGGTTCTGTTCCATTCTATGTGCACAAAGTGTCGGTAACACAGAGCTAGTAGGGTAACATTGATGTATATAAAATAAATTTTCAATAAAAAAACATGCACATGTCATTATTTATTTTTATGTTAAAGCTTAATTTACAATAAGTTCTTTTTAACATAAATATACGTGACAATTTTGTTAATAAAAATTGCATCCAAGAATCGCGACATATAAGTTTTTTTATTTTTGTAAATTCTATTTTTATATTTTGCCCTTACTTTACAATTTTTACGTAACAAGATTATAACTTTTAGATACATAGCACGTTTTGTGCACATAGAGGCGTCTTGAATTGTGGTTGCAGCTAAATCGGGGGGATGATCGCTCTCAGGCTTCTCTCTGCTGGTACGATCATTTTCTTTCTTTCAATGGAAAGAAAATTTAAGAATGTTGTGAAATAAAATACATTGTTTGTCGAGAAAAGATTTTAAATAAAACCAAATACAATATAATAATAGTATACAATAAGTAATATTAAATTCAGAAAACATATACAATGAAAAAGAAATATATACAACAATGCTGCATACAGATGCAATAATGTGATATACATATATATATGTAATACAATATACAATTATATAATAATATAATATACAATATAATATACAATATATTAATACAATATTTTGTACAAATGAGAAACAGATTTTTACAAGTTTACAATATTTAAGAGAAATGTTCCAGTGGCAATATATTTAAGAATTAATTATTATTAAAAATGTGATGTTTTCTATGAAAATAATATTTTTAATATTATATAATAAAAATTAAAATTTACTTCGCGGAAATTTAAAACCAAAATTTGCATTTATTAAACGACGATATTAAATATTTGCAAAAATAATTGGATACGTAAATTTACCACAGTTTCCGGACATTATATTTATGAATATTAAAAAATTATTTTGTTCATATATTTTCGGAGATTGAGACATATCCAGCCATTGGGACATTTAGCTTATTACAATTTTTCTTAATATATTATCCTGTATTCCATCGAAATAATATACAAGATAATACAAAATGAAAATAATATGCCAATATGTCAATAATATGTCAATAAAATCATTTAAACGTTCAAAAGTTTTATGTATAATGCAAAATACTTTGGTTAAAAAAGAGCTGAACAATACGATTTTTTATTATAATCAAAAGTATCCCTTATAATTCAAAAAGTAGTAATATTTTATTAGTGAAATTTATTAATCTAAACATTTAAACGTCTAAACGTTCAAACTTTTTCATAATTTACGCAAGAAACATCTTTCGTTTTTCGAAAGAGAATCTTGCTGTTTGCCCACCCGAAGTTTTATCATTATTTTTGTCATCAATAAACTACAAACTAACTGCCAAAGCAGAAGTTCCAAAGTTTATCGACAGCAAAAGAATTAAAAAAAAAATACAATATAGAAGTGATAAGAAGTTTTAAAATCCTACCTACCTACCCACAAACTTTATCTAGTAGAAAATCCTACCTAATTAGAAATTCTATACCTAAGAGTTCGTACAAAAAATTTTCCGCAGGATGCTTTAGCGCAAAGCTCGACTCAGTTACCGCCATTTGTATCTGAATTTCGGGAAGGAGTTTTTCGCAGGATGCTTTAGCGCAGAGCTCGGCTCAGTTACCGCCATTTGCATCTGAAATTCGGGAGGGAGTTTTTCGCAGGATGCTTTAGCGCAGAGCTCGGCTTAGTTACCGCCATTTGCATCTGAATTTCGGAAGGAAATTTTCCGCAGGATGCTTTAGCGCAGAGCTCGGCTCAGTTACCGCCATTTGCATCTGAATTTTGGGAGGGAGTTTTCCGCAGGATGCTTTAGCGCAGAGCTTGGCTCAGTTACCGCTATTTGCATCCAAAATCTGAGAGCTACTACCTTGGTGTTTCTCAAAAGACGCTAGCGCAGAGCTCAGCTCAGTTTCCGCTAGTTGCGTCCGAAATTTTTGTTGATAGTCGATCATTATTCAATGATCGATCGTATCAACGTTGTTTCGAGATCTGTGCTCGACCATCATCGACGGGACCACGAATTTCGAATTTCCGCGCTCAACCATGGGATCAACACTAGAACTACCGACGATTAACATATACCAATTTTTATTTCTTTTTTCTTTCTTTTTAAAAGGTGATAAAGAGAAAAAGTACATTAATCAATTTAATTATTTAACACAATGCAACACAAGTCACAGAAAAAAATCTCAAAAAATACATTATAAATTTAAATAATTATTCTAAAATGAATAAACCGGTCATTTTGACCGCTTTGATAGTTCTAGTGTTCTAATGTTAAGCCATAGGACCACGGATGCATGGGTAAGCTAGGAAAGATTGCGAAGAAATTGACGTATAGCAAGAATAAATATATATTTTAAAATTGTAAATAAATTGTTAATAAAAAATGCACTCTTTCTTTATTAGATCAATTATTTCAAATATACCATAATTCATTAATATATTTACGTTTGTGTAAAAGAATTTTCTTTTTTATTTTTAATTTAAATTTATGATACATTTGTGGTACATATGTATTTAAAAATTTTCTTACTTTTGCTTTTTAACGCCAATTTATAATATTTAATCCTGGAAAGATATAAAAAATAAACCACTTACCGTAGGGAAGGAAGAAATGAAAGTACACATTTACACACAGAAAAAGAATTTTGCTATCGCAATAAAATAATCGTTGCTATTGCATGTTAAATATGTTAGCGATAAAATTTCGCTATTGTAACTACTTTTACAGATTATTCAATATGCAACAAATCTGGTTTGTTCAAAAAATCGACAAATTTTGAGATGAGAAAACAAGTTAAAATTCGCTGTTACAACAAAATAATTAATTTTTAATAAATTTATTTTACTATTGCAATGAATTGTCGCCATTAATACAAACTTTGATAATAAGATAAAAATAAATTTCTTATTATATATTAGCAATATAATTTGTGTGTGTGCAGATTTAAAAACTAATTTCGGTAAATAAAATTATTATCTATAACAAATCTCTTTGCTGTTCAAATAATAATCAACTGTAAGAAATTTTGCTATGATAGCTTATATAAAATTTACTGCGGCAGCAAATACTTTTTTTCTATGTATTAACAAGTTTTATCTTTTATTTTATGTATAATCTTTTTTTTTAAATATTTTTTTTCTTCTATTTTTTCTTATATAAAAAAAATATAAATAAATATATAAACATATATAAATATATAACACAAGTACATTATTCAGAATAAAAATATATTAGGTTATTTAAAAAATTTGTAATAATTTTTATAATAAAATTGAAAACTATTTTTATATGTTTAGAGTCATCTTTGTTCAGTAATATATGCACCATTGTTTTCGACAACTTTTGGCCATCTTTAACAACTTGTGCATACATTATTAAATAAAGATATATAAACATATAAAAATTGTTTTCAATTCTGTCATCAAAAAATTCTACAAACTTTCTGAATAATTCAATATATTTTGTTCTGATCTGTCAATCATGAAATACATTT